ATATCAATCTAGAATCGACAAAAACACACAAACACGAAAAGAAATGCTAAATGAGTTTTTGATAGTTTATATACATGAATATGGCAGTTTTCTACTTCCATGTCATTTTACTTTCTATACATTGTTTCAATCGAGATGAATAAGCTGCAAATGCTTGATTGAGTGCATCTGGTTGTAAACGTTTTTTGCCTTGAATATTATAATGAATATCATCTGGCTTAACACCAGTGTGCAAACCAACAAATCGCCCATTGATATCAAAAATAGCGCCGCCACTGGAACCTCGTAATGATGGACAATCGTGACTGAAAAAATCATTCCCACTTTCTAAGCATTTTCCAACAGATACTGATTTATGATCTGGATACATAGCACAATTTAAATTTTCACGTGTGTACGCTGGATACTGCGAACAATATTCATAATATTCAACATCTTCAATTTTTCTTACTACTCCACAATAGGAAAGTAAAAATAGTTGGGAATTCAGTTTGAGCTCCTCTTTATTCAATACTCGTGGAGGACAATAATTGCTTTGATTTGTTAAAAATAACTTATTTTTTACATCATCATAATCACAAATTCGAAGAATGGCGAAGTCTTCGTCCACTGAACAAACATTCTCGGGTTGTAATCCATTATCTGAAACACCCCGAAACACCATTTCGGCTTCGAATACATGTTCATTACTTGAGACAAATAAATGATCCGACGCTAGCGTTAACGATGCAAATTTGATTTTCTGGTACGGAATTTGACGTTCATTATCTCGTAAAGGGTTGAACACATGTGCTGCGCTGATTATATATTGACCATCGATAATCAATCCAGATCCGCCTAGACGAATTGTGGTAAAATCGTGTTCATATTCGACACAAATTTTAACAATATATTTTGATAAAAATTGTAATTGTTCTCTGATTGGTAAATCAATAGTCATATCAGACTCGGGTACTAATATAATTTTACCAGTATATGAGACTGTAAACGGTATGTTTCGTTTTATTTGATTAGTTCTTGCATTAATAAAGGCACGCTCGAACGATGTTTCATGTTTTGATCTGATCATTTGAGCATGTTTTAGACGATTTTCGGCGTCAATCTCTTCCTCTGATGAATAAGACTTATTACTCACATTCTAGGATAAAAACAAAAAACACTTATCAAAGGTTCACGTATTACCGGTTTTCTGTCATTTCACAGTCAAAATAGACAAGACTTAAATATAGAGATCTGCATTAGATGAACTTATCCATGGACTGTTTAGAAAACCTTCGATTCCATAAAAATGTTTTAAAAAACTTTGCCGAATACTTCACACTTGCGATATCATCTATGCAGATTTAAGGTATAAGAAAGTTTATCAGGCATGAAGTAAAAATGAAGCGAAAACCACGACGGAAAAGTAGTTTCGTTTACGTATATCATATTATCTCCTCTTTTCCTTCAATTATATTCACATCAGAGATCATTAAGTTTCAGAGTCAATTTTTTACCCCGTGACCTAACTTTATAGAACGCGGATAGCGAAACACAAAGGTCTTAAAGTTGTTGTCCTACTAAGCTATTCAATTATTTTGAAAAGCCCCGAAAAATCTAAATTTTTTTCAAGATTTTCAATCGTACTTCTAGACAGACCATATGTCAAACTGCTCCTGAAACTATTTTGGCAATCTGAAGTCTTTTTCTTTTTGATATAGGTTGCTTAAAAATTTCCATTTTTATTAAAATACATCATTTTGTCAAACACTTTTCTCCCGACGGATGAAACGAATTTCAACGCTCTATGATATAGATGTAGTACACCATGGGTACTATCATGAGCCATAGTGACATTTTTAGGATCTCCTAAAATAAGGTCCCTAGAGGCTGAATAAAAAATATCACGTTTCACAGCCACGGTTAAATCAGCATTTTCCTATCAAGTGCTACAGATAACTTTCGACAAGGAATTCAATAGTGATACTAAAACAAGTTAATTCCCCTGTTAACATAGTCTTAGATAGGATTTCTCGGTCGAAAGATCCTAGGTCATAAGTGCACCCGAACTAATAAAATTCTCACTCAGTCAAAGCATATTAGAAATCGGAAAAAATGTAAGGTGTAGGCAGTCCAAAGTTACAGCAGGAAATTTTTTTCCCTTTTTTTGACACGGTTGGATAAAGCTCATCGAGTTGCATCGGAAAAAACACAATCCCACTTTTTAAGAAGCCATTTTACAGTGGAAGAATTTAAATTCAAAAGGCTAAGCAATTTATTGTTAATTCCCTCTAATCAGTATACTTTTAGGAAAAAAAGTATGCGAAGCATTTTCTAAAAATTTATTTCCTTGCTGAGAAAATTATTTTTTCTAAATTAGAGGCGAAAAAGTTGGGATTCTGCCCGTAATTCTCAATTCTCTACAACAAAACTGAACTTTTGAGCAATAAAAATATCCTAGAATCAAAAACTGAGTCGATTAATGTGTATTTCTATCCTATCTGACTACTTTGATCTTTTTCGAATTTTCACGTTGAAAAATTACCGAGATTTTTACCCAAAACTGAAAATCAACTAAAAATTTCGAAATACACAATAGTCGACTCAGATTTTGAACCTAATTCCCAATATGATATTTTTATTGTTCAAAAGTAGAATTTCAACGTTAAAATTTAGACATTCAGCTTTTTATTCTTAGTTTCGATGGAGGATCAGAAAAAAATAGTTTTGGAATTTTAGAAAAACAATAAATATGAAAAGTTTGTTTGTTTTCGAAAATTTCACAGATTTCTGCTTATTTTCAAAAAATGGGTATTTTTAAATTTTTTCACTGTAAAATGGCTTCTTAAAAAGTGGGATTGTGTTTTTTCCGATGCAACTTGATGACTCTATCCAACCGTGTCAAAAAAAGCGAAAAAAAATTTCCTGCTGTAACTTTGGACTACCGGCATCTTACGAAAGTAGATAATACGATGTGAAACTTTGTTAGTTTTCTCGAAACTGACTTTCAGAGATCCACACGAAAACAGATTATAGGTAGCAATGAACAGACGATTTCACAAAATGACGTATTTTGCCAAAATATCAATTCAAGGTCTCAGGTCCAAACTGGCTGTGACCTCAAACATTGTTCCACAAACAACCTTGAGCTAGGCCTATCTGAAAATGTAGTTAAAACGCCTAACGTTTGTGTTAAAACTTGGTCAACAAACTGATTTTCGCTCTTATAAAGACCTCTACCAGAAAAGACAGCAACGACATGTAGATCTCTTGTGTCATTTCAAAGTAGACACTACGAAGTATATCTGATAAAAAATTCATGTCCTGGTCATGCGTCGCTATCGAGATATATGCGTTGAAAAAAGACTGTTTTGGTGCAAGTACAAAATTTTAACTTTTAGGGCTTTTCGTAAAACTTAAATATCTGGACCAAATTTTAACCAGTTTTCATCAATATCAAACAAAATACTGTCTGTACAAAAGACTCCTATAGACAAAAAAGTTTGCAATGGCCGGTTAAAAAAATAGCTTTTAAGGAAAACAAACATGTTTTCTATTTGTTGTTTACATGTTTCAAATATTCTCCTCTTTATGATACTATGTACTACTAAGTGGGGAACGAATACGTTTTTCTAGGATAATTTAGAAAGAAACGTTTTCTTCGTAAATAAAGCATGGATATGGACAGAATTTTTCTTGTTAATGGATAAACAGGTCGGTATGTCCTAGGACATGGACAGAAAAAAGTTATCCATGCAGATCTTTACTTAAATGCCCTTAACGGTCTACTAATAGCTCTATTTTTGAGCATCAGATATGTTTTCACTTACTAGTTCGTTGTTATTGATTTCCTCTGCCTGTTCTGTCGACGCCATAGTGTTGAAATATTAATGTTAGTCTAAAATTAGAAAGTTCCTATAGCTATTTATACACAACATATTAGCGTCTGCAGATTGCATAAGGCATACAATAGCTGCTGCTTCTTCTCAGCTTTCCAAATTACTCTTCTCATGCGTAGCTAACATTAGTTAGTCTCTCAAAGATAAAGTGGCGAACAAAAGTTTAAGCGATTTTATAATTTCAGTTTTCTCCATCAATTTCAAACGCTAAGAAACATTCAAATAGTGATTCAGATACCCCAGACGATGGCGTACAAAAATGAACCACTTTCATCTTTCCAAAGTACAGGCTGTCTACTTAGGAGAAAAAGGCGTTTTTATCCAGCAGACAAAAGTTTAAGTGATTTTTCAATATTTTCCATCCACTCTACAATAAACAGTTTTTTGATGGTTTGTAAGTGTCGCGAAGAGACCAGTTAGGAAGAAGAACTCGTCAGCAATAAGTCTGAGTAGAAAGAAAGTCTAAACAATAGGTTTTGCCATGATCTTTAACTTTTAAAAAAAACAGGTTTAATCTTTACAAATTTAGTTTCAAGAGTTCCGTCAACTTGAAAAGCAACTTCACCTACACCACTAGAAAGAGCATGAAATACTGCATATAGTTCGATAATTTCATCTATTTCTGGCAAATTCAGACCGTTTTCTAGATCGAGCACTAATTTTCCCTTGCGTTTTATCTACACACGACATTCAAATCTCAAGGGGTGGACACGTGCCCTGTCTGCCTATCACCTGGCTACGGCCCTGCAAGTAAATGCTCTTCGGTTTCCTTATGAATATTCAAAAGTTAGTCTACTTTGAGGCAGAGCAAAACTCATAGAAAAAGACAAACAAATTGAATATGACTCTTAACTACAAACATGGCAGTCGGCCGATAGAACAATATATTAGAGAACTAACGAAAATGGAGATATCTCTATTCGCATGTGCACTGTATTCGATGACAAACGCGTCAGATGTCTTTATTTATTCTTTCTGCTCTCTTTCTTCTATAAGCACCAAATGTGCGGCAATATAAGCACAGGATATATCTTGTGCGAATAGAGATATCTCCATTATCGACAGTTCTCTAATAAATGAAATGAAAAAACTCTAACAAAATTAACTTGGCGTAACAATTCGGTGCGTTCTTTCTTTTTCTATCATACACAAAGACTGGGGTTTTTCTTTTCTGATTGATAATTCTGAAGCGAATGACAGTCGAGAAACAGAGATGTCGGTAGCTTTAGGACATACTCTTTTGATACTTCTACAGAATAGTCACACCCTGGACTATAGAGTCTGCGTATAATAGAGAACAGGAAAAACAATGTGACTGGCTGATTTTAATATGTAATCATATATCTGAATATAAGATGTCAGAAAGAGAAGATAGCTTCTAAATAATTAGAGGTCGATGCATTATGACTCAAATTTAAATAAAGGAAATTTAACTTTAAACAAATAGGCACTATGGAGAACGTAGGATATTTCAGGCTAGGATTCGAGTATTTCCTGAATGGGTACGCACAGGCAAGCGTTCCAACTAAGTACACTTGCGTTCCAAGTAGAACTCGACAAGATCTATCGATTCCAACGGTCTCCCGTTGGTTGATTATGATCATAATCGAACTGGGAATGCAAGAAAACCTATAGGAAGTCGCTTTTATCAAAACCCAAGTTTAAAATACTGCGATAAAACCCAAGTATACTTCATTTTTAAAACTTGAATATCTCGTGAACCTTACATGGAATATTCTTCAAAGTGGTAGAGAATATAGGCCATGTCCCACTCTATAATAATAATCTTAAGCGGTTTTTCGAAAAAAGGGAGAACATGTTGGAAAATTCATCGCGGTGGTGATCAATTCGCATTGAGAGTGGCGCCAAATCCGATAATTCTGCTGGGAGAGTCAAAGTCATTTTTCTCGGGTTCTGCATCAGCTATGAAGTCAGAAAAAACAGTTTCTAACGTAATTTGATGTGCTCTATAAAACTAGATTGGTCTTAAATGAAGCGGAAAAACTTTAGTAAAACGTGGGACACTTCAGATGGATTTGCCCAGATGTGGCGATCAAATCATACGAAAATATCGTGCTTCACCTTTGGCGAACCGAAGTTTCGCCTGACCTGAGTTACGTTAGCCAATCGCACTACTGTAGTTTGCGGTGGAAGATGACTGTACTAGGAAAATGGTTTAAT